GATGGCTGCTATGTTGTATTTTAAGTGCTTTAGAAATAAATTGGTATGGTATTTATAAGACTGAGTTTAATGCAGCTCCTCGGACTGAAGAAGTCTTATGGATTAAAGATGAAACGTTCCAACAAGTTTTTTTTTTAATCTGTCCAGAGGACCTGACTTAACTTTGTTAGATAGCCTCAGTATTGCTCACAGGTAATCCTTCTAGGTAGTATGATGAAATGAAGCCATTATGAGCCATGTTGAATTCCCCTCTGGCACCAGTAATGCATACATCTATTTATTTACCTATCAAACATTTTTATAAACTCTTCTAAATAAAGTGTATCTTTTAGACGAGCAAGAATGAGATGTTGGTCCCATCTCCTGCTCTCTCAGGGTGTTCTCCTGTGTAGTCCATTTCTTCTGAGTGTTCAAATGCAGCTCAGATCAAAAATGCAGTTACTTCTCTGCTTTGTTCTTGTTTAAAAACACCATTATGTGATTGTTATCCACAACTTATATTTTCACTAGTTTGCAGCTTACAAGCATTACTTTTTATTTCATAATACATTTACTTCTGTATTCAGATGTTTCCCACTAATAATTGTAAATTTGCAATACACAAGCATATTATACCTTGTCCAAGATTAACCGTACCTTGTCGTACAATTCTCTTTCTGTTTCTCATGTTTTTGAAGGTTGATCTGAGGAAATCTTTACCGTTTATTGATTTGATTTGTAAATGTCCTATTTGATCATCAGTCCAAGATATCAGTCAAAAGTGAGGACGTGTACTGGTTACTTTGCTTTGTCCACGACTCTATGGCTTGACTTAACTGTCCCTTTGGGAGAACTAAAGGACCCACATATATTTATCAAGATCATCTGCAATGATCATGATCACCGTGGGCTGCTTGAGACAAGTTTTGTCCCAAGTCCAGTCCTGCACAAACTCATGAAAAAATGTTTTATTGCTTATAAACATGAATATAATACTTTCCACAGTGCACTGTTAAGCAAATAAATGAATGAATGAATAAAATCACCATGATTGCTGTCATGCATGAAATCAAGCGTGCAGGACCCGGACAGACTGAAGATCATGCACAGACCATGCACGTCCAGCATTTAGACAAACGTCCTAATGGGGCAGCACAGGCAGACCAGAGAAAAGCAAGACATATGGAAACTTACTAACTGTTTTTGATCCTTGTGGAAGAGAACAGCCTGAGACTGATTTGTTTGAGCCCTGGCGCTTGGACGGGTCAAGGTTGACCCTGATTCCATAACGAAGGGAAGCAGAAGATAAAGATGAAGAAAAAGAGGGTTAGGAGCAGGGAGCTGGGGAAGGAGGTGCGTAAAGAGAATACATTTCAGGAGCCAGTTGTGAAAAAAGACTGCAGCAGGAGAGCTGATCAGCAAGGGTAAAGCTGACGTTTGATAAGATTAGACATGTAATTATGATGACCGGGCAGGAGAGGAGAGCTGTAGATAATCCACGGTCACAGAAAAACGGGCTTGGCAATAGGCCTGGCTGGAAAAAAACGTTTGACAAACATGGACTGGGCTCAAGCTGAAAGACAGAATTTTCTTCAAATAATCTATATATTTTATATCATGCAGTTGATTTTAGATGTTTTGTTTAAATTCCACTTATTTACAGTGAGACAGTTTACGACATAAGTTATCTCGGAGCACTACACCAAAATAATGTCCAAACCGTTGTTTAAAACGGATCCAGCTTCAAATCCAGTCCAATAAAACAATACATTCACATTGAGTACATTATAAAATGCTAACTTGTAAAGTTGTCTTAAAAAACAAAACAATGCAACAACTCTACACTTCGGTGCAATTACCCAATCACAGAAGTGACACTGGAAGGAAAACCTTCCAGAACCGGAACTATGTTCAGGATGAGAAGCCTTCTGCCTCGATCGGCTGGAGGGTTGACTTCCTTACGAAGGGCTGACAGACCTTATAAAAACATTTCTATGAAGAAACGTTGAGCGTTCTCTGGACGTTCGTAGTTTCTTCATTAAGATGACCATCATCGGCATTCCTTAAACCCAGCCTCCCCTCTTCTTTTTACAGCAATCTGTGAGAGCAGCGGCTGGAGATAAAACTCAGCTGGATTTATAGATGGGAGCATATGTTGATCTAAAACCTGTAGATACTTTAGATAATGTAGATAATGTCTCCGATACTTGTTGTTAAATGTAATAGTGGATTAATTACTGTTACAGTACGCCAGTGTCGTACCAAGTCTTTTTCTGGACTGGAATGAACAGGGAATGTAAGTAAACCTTAATGTTTTGGGTGAAAGATATTGAAGTGTGTAGGAGTTGCACTGTGTATAAAAACAGGTTGATCTTTTTGCTTGTCCGAGATGACGCAAAGTTACATATGCTGGTGAGCCTAGAAAGCAATATAATCCACGACCAGGTGCAAAGTTGAGCCAACACTCCAACAAGTTAAAGAAACTATACTTTGAGCAGTATAAAAACTAGATAGCATGGTTTCCTCAAATGACTAAGGCAGTTGGTTTACATTTATATACAGTGACATGACAACCTAGTTTTCCATAGTGACCCATGCAGCCAAATGGAAGTTGGTACTAGGGCTGCAACAACGAATCGATAAAATTGATAAAAATCGATTATTAAAAGTGTTGGCAACAAATGTCATCATTGATTCGTTGTGTCATGGGATTAAACGTCTCTCACGGCGCTGCAGAGCCGTTTTGTTCACCTGCAGAGCATTGTCAATGCTGGCTGACTGAATAAAGTTTGAAAAAAAAACTGCAGAGTGAGTTGAATGGAGCGAGGCAGAGCAGAGGCTGTTTTCAAAGGAAATTAAGTAAATTTTACAAATGACCGACTCTGAAGACTTGTGTCAAACAGTTTTCTCTAAGTGTGGGAGCACTTTATGCTTCACAAAGATAAAAACTGCAACATGCAGCTTTGAAAAGTGACTAAACAACACGGGAGAACCACGGAGATGAAACGTAAACATGTGGGATTCACGAGGAGGAGGAAGGAGCTGAACAGCTGATACAGCTCGTCTCACTCCCAGCTCATGTGTTGCAGGTGAGTCTCTACAATATTCTACATTTGTTCTGTTTCAAGAGAGAAAACGTAACGTCAGTCTCTCTGGAGCTGAAGCTGTTTGTTTGTTTGTTTGTTTTGTTGATTAATGACGGCAATAGAGATCGTGTGTGTCACTTTTTATTTAATTTAATTGGTACAAGCAGTGTTTAAATGTGATTTATAAATAAATCTAACACAAAGATAATAATTTAATGATTAAGCTTCAACTTTTAATTTGTCAGAGTCAGAGTCAGTCAGAGTCAGAGTTTCTTTATTGTCATTCGCACCTCATGTGGTACATGTGGTGGAGCGAAATTATGTACACAGGGTCCCAGTTACATCCAACAATAAAATGTATAAGAAAAACAGTAATAACATCTAAGATATGAACTAAGAAAAACATCAACTAAATATACACTAAGCACTCATAACATAAAAAAAAACAAATGACCGACTCTGACTTTGCCGACAAAGTCTGAAGACACTGCATTGTATGGCAGGACGATTTGCATTTAAACAGGAATTAAAGTAATTTATTACATCTACTCAAATGTGTGTAATTAAGTATTTTATGTGTGTGCCCTGTGTTTGATTAATCTTTGCCTTACTTACTTGCCTTCACTTAACACTAAGTGAAACAAGGCATTTCTTGAGTTGCTGTAAATTATGCTATAAAACATATTTACTGTCTCATTCCAGAAAACAACAACAACATCCTTCATGATGGACAGACATCATGGACACCACAGCAGCAGCTGTCTTCACTGAAACATCCTTAAATGATCGTCACTGACATGAGGCCTCTGTCCATGGTTGAAGACGAAGGCTTCACTACAATAATCCACACTTTTAATCCAGGTTACAATAATCCACACTTTTAATCCAGGTTGCACTCTTCCCTCAAGGACACATTTTACAAAGTAGCTACATATTGTGCAGGTATAAAGTATACATTTGTATATATTTTTGTGTACATTGTTTTTTATTTAAGCTATTTGACAAACTTTTTTAATTTTTTTATTATTCAATATTTTACAAACAGAATAGTCAAATAGCAACCTGTTTTTTTGTGCGAATTGCTGTCAGTCACATCTTCAATTTTGGAATAAAGAGGTGGAAATTAAAACGTTTATTTTTGCTGATTCATCGATTAATCGTAAAAAAAAAAAATAACCGACAGATTAATTGATTATAAAAATAATCGTTAGTTGCAGCCCTAGTCGGTACATCACTTATTTTTCTCAGTTGTCATGCTCACAACAAGGATGGATGAACAGAGGACATTTCCAATTCCCCTCTTCGCTTTGAGACGAGGGACAAAAAACTAGAGCAAAATGCAGCAAGTGGCACCGATGTAAATGTCATACACTCACATTACATGTACCAGTAGCTATTCCCTCACCCCCACCCATTGTGAAGTCGAATTACAAACAAGAAGTGGCTCCAATAGAAAAATACCTCAAGTGTGAGGAAGTCATCAATTTTCAATTGGATTCTGAGGAAAAAAAAAATCGGTGAGACGAGTAAAGCTAGACACAAACTGAGCCAACAGTTTCAGGTGTCACCAGTGCCGTGATCATGCTGGAACCTTCAGCTCAGACTCAAGTTCAAATTTAAGCAATAAATAAATAACCTGTGTCATTCACAGAAAGATCACAGACACTGGCTGGTGATGTTTCATGGCTTACTACAACAGGAAGTACAAACGCCACAAACAACAAGCCTTCACACTCTGTACAGCTGCTCTGAAGTTTACCTGCGAGTGAGTTTTGAGGTTAGCTTGGTGAAGAGGTTGGAAGTCGCCCTGGTGCGGGCATGGGGCAGCGGGCTGGCTTCATGGTGGGACAGGGTGGGTGATGTGGGTGGTGCAGAGTAAACCAGAGGGCCACGATCCCTTAGCTGTCCCCCATGAAACGTGCTGCGGACTGTTGAGCCTCGTGTCAGGCGGCATCGGTCTGAAGAGGAGGATGAGGAGGAGGCTGCTCCAGCTCCAGAGATGCTGAGTGTGGAGGGAGAAGCTGCAGGCATGCGATGGCCCAGAGAGCTGCAGAGAACAATTTCATCTTTACTTCACTTACACATCATATTTTTTTCAAAAACTGTGAAATATTTTTCAGCCAAGTACCCCCAATCAGCACAAAGTATTTGGTTTGTAAAAACAAATAAAACACATTGCCGTGCAACCCGGGGCTGAGAAACAAAAGTTACGGCTGTAACTAAGGTTCTATGAATCCCGGATGACTGCCAGAGGCGGTGTTTAAAACACTGAATGATCATTCTTGAGCATGCGTAGGTCCAGAATTTTATGCCAACATAGTCACGTGTGACGCCCCGGACACCGGTGAGTCTATATAAGCACGTGACAACTGTAACCCAGTCCCTTAATCTTCTCGCAAAATGCGATGATTCCGAGAGACCGAGCACTCTGGCGGTCATCCGGGATTCATAGAACCGTAGTTACAGCCATAACTTTCATTCTATTTCATCCCTACTGACCGCCAGAGGCAGTGCTTAAAGCACTGGATGACGATTGCCAACAGAGTCCTGAGGAAAAACACCCACAAGAAGAAACAAAATTTAAGTGTCCACCTTACTGAGACGAAGATGGTTGCTGTGATAGGATCCCTTCCAACGGGTGAAAGGCAGCCAGGTTTACCCTGTAGAACCTGGCAAAGGTATTTGGGGATGACCAGGAGACTGCTGCACATATCGCCTACAGAGTGACCCCATTCATAGCGGCCCAAGACATGCTAACGCTCCTGGTGGAATGGCATTGTACCCCTACAGGTGGTTGGTGGCCCTGTAGAGTGTAGGCCTGTTCGACTACGTCCATAATTCAGCGCGCAAGGCGCTGCTTTGAAAGGGCCTGCCCTTTGCGAGGCCCTGCATAGCAAATGAACATATTATCAGACTTCCGCAGAGAAGCTGTCCGTCGGATGTACGCTTCCAGTGCCCGAACAGGGCAGCAAGGATCGTCAGCACCATCTGCATCGAAGCGAGCAAGCTGGAGAGGCAGAGAGTGGATCGCAGATGAGGCCACCTTAGGGAGGAACGCTACGTTAGGCCAGAATGTAACACCCGAACCAGCTGGGTTCCAACGGCAACAGTGCTTGTGAACAGACAGCGCATGTAGTTCACTTACTCCTTTGGCCGAAGCCATGGCCAAGAGAAACGCGGTCTTCTTAGACAAGCACTCAAGGCTCACATCCGTCAAGGGCTCAAACGGAGCAGACCACAGGGTAGTGAGGACCAGCGAGAGGTCCCACACAGGTACGACGAGGCATGTGGGGGGGGGGGGGGGTGCCGACGTCTGGCGCCTCTCAGAAACAAGGACACATCCTTGTTACGACCTACTGTCTCCCGACCCACCATCATACTGCCAGCACGAGATGGCAGTAACATAAACTTTCAGGGTGGATGGAGAACGGCCCTGAGAAAATATCGCCTGAAGGAAAGTAAGAATAACAGAAAGAGGACAGTGTACAGGGTCCTCGTGTCTGGCACGACACAATTTGCTGAAGACCTTCCACTTATGTGTGTACACCAGTCATGTGGAAGGGGCCCTGGCGTTATTCATTGTATATGCGACCTCCCCGTCATACTCTGAGAAGGTAATGGCGGGCCCTACAGCGGCCAAGCCTAGAGCCGGCGGCGATTGGGATTGGGGTGCATAAGCTGACCCCCCAACTGTGGCAGGAGGTCCTTCCTGTGGGGTAGAGGCATTGAAGAGCTGCAACAGAGCCTGTGCAGCAGTGGAAACCAAGTTCTCCTGGGCCCGAGGGGAGCCACTAGGAGGACTTGATGCCCCTCTTGAAGAAATCTCAGGAGTGTTGGGCCTATCAGGGGAAGCGGCGGAAAAGCATACAGCAGCACCCTGGGCCAGTCGTGTGCCAGTGCGTCCTGACCCAGGGCACTGGCACTGCTTGCCAGAGAAAACCAAAGCGGGCAGTGTGTTGTCTCTTGAGATGCAAACAGGTCCACAGCTGCCTTGCCATACCTCTCCCAAATTACCCTCACCACCTCCGGATGAAGCCTCCACTCCCCAGGTGGTGGGCATACCCGAGACAGAAAATCGGCCGGCCTATTCCGCACTCCTAGAATGTGGGCTGTCCTCAGGCTGGCAAAGAGGGGGACTGCCCACAGTAAGTTTCTGGGTCAGCAGCAGCAATGTCAGCCTCTGTGTTCCCCCTTGATGGTTGACATAAAAACACAGAAGTATTGTCTGACTGCACCAGGACATGCTTCCCGTACAGGTCTGGGAGGAAGCGTTTTAGGGCCAGCCGCACAGCATCCAGCTCCAAGGCATTGATGTACCTCGCCTTTTGCTGTGGAGACCACGTTCCTTGGGCAATCTGTCACTGCCACGATACCCCCCCCCCTCCCCCAACCTGTGGTGGATGCATCGGTACAAACAACTTCCCTCTGAGACGGCAGAGAGCCCAGTGGGACCCTCTCGTCACTGAGCCAGTGACGCAAGGCATTGAGGGGACACCAGCTACCTCCTGCGGCGGTGCACTGCACGAGTCAGATCCAGCCGCAGGCTGTTGAGCTGCACCTGTAGAGGACGCAGAGACAACAGCCCCAGAGGTACCACTTTGGAGGCAGCAGTCAGCTTGCCTAACAGGTGAAGGTACGCAATGAAGGGGGGGTGTCCAGCTGGGTAGGAAGGCGGGCAGCATCTGCAAAATCTCGCTGACATGTTGTAGTGACGAGCAAGCCACCATGGTGAGGGAATTCATCGTAGTTCCCAGGAACGTGACCTCCTGAGAGAATTAGGTTGCTCTTCTGCCAGTTCACAGGAAGACCCAATAGGTCTATGTGATCGAGCACCATCTGTGTGTCTGCAGCTGCCTGAGCTTGTGTTGGCGCACAGAATCGTTCAAGTAGGGCAGGATCTTCAACCCCTTGACCTGCAAAGGGTACAGGGCTGCTGCCACACACCAGGTGAACACACGGGGGGACAGAGAAAGACAGAATGGAATAACTCTGAATTGAAAATACTTGCCCTGAAATGCAAAGCAGAGAAACTGCCAATGGTGCTGCGCAATCGGTACATGAAAGTATGCATCCTTCAAGTCGACCAAGGTGAACCATTTGCCTGGACAGACTGCCTGGAGTGCATCTCTGATGCTCAACATGTGGAAAGGAATAGTTTTTAAAAACACATTCAGGCCTCTCAGGTCCAAAATTGGCCATAGTTCACCAGTCTTTTTGGGGACAAAAAAATAACTTTGAGTAAAAGCCCCCTGGATCCCACAGGGGGTCAACAGGCACTATAGTAGCCTTGGCCAGCAAGGCGTCTATTTCGTGGTTCAGTGCCTGAGCTTTCACCTGGTCGCTAATGACCATCATTCTGACCTGACCAGGAACGGGAGGGCAGCGGCGAAACTGTAGCACATAGCCCCGAGATAGTGTTGACACAAATCGGGCGCGAGAGGGGCCCAGCGGTTGAGCTGAAATGGGGTAAAGTGTCCCACTGCCTGCTTCCAAATGTCATTTCTGAGCTCCCCTGCCTTTAGGAGGGCAGGAGGGATGCCGGGAGGGCTGCCCGCATTGAAAAGGGATGGGAGGCAGATCTCTGGGCGGAGCCCATTGGCTATGAGCAGGCCCTGCAGCAGGCCCTGCAGCAGGCCGCGGCTGCCCCATGGAGGGTGTAGGTGGGGCTGGATAAATGTGTGAGGAGGACGCAGAGGCACCTCCAGCAGAACACCGAGAGCGTCGGCAATGAAGGCCAGACAATTGCTGTCTGGTATGGGTGGCCTGGGCTGAACGTTCCAAGGCTGCAAGTGCAACAAACCAAACAGCTCTCCAGGAACCACAGGAAGACTCATCAGGGTCCTTCTACAGGGCTCAGTCAGGGGAGACTGTGCCAGCCAAACCTGGCGATGTACCTGGACGAGGATAGATAACACACGACCAATCTCCCTTGAAAAAAGACCAAAGGCATGAAGGGAAGCATCCATCAGGCCTTGAGTAGGTGCATCAACCACAAAGCCTTCCAAGGAGGTCAAGAGGCCCAGTAACAAATTCGACAGCAAGTTACTCAGTCAACCCAATCGAGACCCCGATTCATAAGCTCTACAGAGCAGGTAATCTGTGACCCGGCACTTAGGATGAGGGCACCTGGCATTAGTCCTCAAAGCCTCATCCGGAGCCACAATGAGGGATGGCAGGTTCAACAGAAGGCATATGGCCCAAGCCAAACTGGGGCGCATCCTGCATGGCTACCAGGGCCCTGCCATCTGCGATCGGTTGTGAGAAAGCCTTAGTATCCATCCAGCAGGCATGTACCTCCTTTATGTATTCAGCCGAAGGGGGAGCCGTCAAGGATGACCTAGCAGAAGGATGTTTAAAGAAAGCACTGGAAGCAGCGGGTTGGCTCTGTGGGACATCCAGGTGCAACCGAGCAAGAGCAGTTCTCAAAGCACCCACTATGGAACCGTCCTCTGGCTGAGAGCAGGAGGAGATGTGCGAACTGGCAGTCAACACACACGAGCCAGACTCAAACTACTCTTGAAAATCAGTTCCGGATGCTGCCAGGGAGATAGCATCCTCTTCAAAAGCAGAGGCCCCTGAGCCCATGTTCTGACCCCAGTCAGACCTGCGTTGTCCCCTTCCCTCAGGGACTCGAGCAGCGCCTTCATCTGTTCCAGCTCAGAGGTGAGATGGACCACCTGCCCAGATAGTCCCTCTGAGCCCCTGGAGCTTTTTTTGGTCCTCTTTTGTGGAGGCCCCAAGGCCTCTAGGGCCACACGCTTTACAGGCTGGCTCGCAGTCTCAGAATCAGCTAAACAAGCTGCCCGCAAGGACAAGGGCAGAACGTAACAGTTGAAGAAGGCCACTTCCGTCACAGCCTCCCTCAGATGATCTGGCCCCAAACAAGAGGGGCACAGATCATATCCATCCTCTAACTGGAGAGGGGCCAAACAGGCTCTGCAGCACTGCACATCCAGCATCTTTCGGCTCACAAGACTAGAAGTGTCAGGTCGAGCAGGAAACACCACTCTCGACGCTGGAGTCGATGAGCGAATGGACCAGGGAACCCGGTCGAGCAGAAAATGCCACCAGGGGTTCCCCAACTGCTAGCTTATAAAAGCAGCCAGAAGTGCTACGACTGCTGTAGGCAGTCGCAGGTAAAAAATGCAACACGAACACGGTTGCAATTAAAGAAAAGGAGGCAAGCCAAACACGGCTGCACAGCTCAAGAAAAAATGCAAGCACATAAAATGGCTGCAGTGTAACAAAATCAAGTCAAGCCGAACACAGCTGTAACTATGTAAATGAAAAAGTGAGTACGAAAAACGGCTGCAATGTAACAAATAAAGTCAAGCTGAACACAGCTGTAACTATGTAAATGAAAAGCAAGCACAAAACCAGCTGCAATGTAACAAACAGAAGTAGACGCAGCTGTACAATAGGAGCAGGAGCTTGAACAGGTAAAGGTGGGCAAAGCCAAACACGGCCGCTACACCCGCAATTGAAAACAAAGCAAGCAGGAACGCGGCTGCAATGCTTTCTGTAAACTAAGGAAAAAACGGCTAAACGCTGTACTTCCAGCCAATAAGGAAACCCGATGCAGCTAGCGAACGCGCTACCGCTGGGTCAACAGAAACAAAACAACTTACCAGTTGAAGTACAATCGTTTAGAGGATACCAGCTTGCGCAGCCTCTGGAGGGAGAGGCAGTCCTGCAGCTCCAACCGTAGTCTCGAGGCTACCAGCGTCAAGCAGAAAAAGTAAACCTCTTACCACCTGCATGCGAGAGGATGAAAGAGACTGGGCTACCGTTGTCACGTGCTTATATAGACTCACCGGTGTCCCGGGCGTCACACGTGACTATGTTGGCATAAAATTCTCAACCTGCGCATGCGCAAGAATAATCATTCAGTGCTTTAAGCACCGCCTCTGGCGGTCAGTAGGGATGAAATAGAACTAACAATAACTAATCATCACTGTAAGTGCCTTTTGTGGGGAAAATAAAGGTTTGATCACCAACTGAAACTGGGATATTATTTAAAGAATGTAAATGGGCTGTACTTGTATAGCGCTTTTCATCAAGATACTCAAAGCTCTTTACAACACAATCTATGGCCTCATTTATCCATTCATACAGCACGCTACTATTTCTGTACAAAGAATAATCAGAGCTTTATCACATTCATACACTGATGGGACACACATCCGAGACAAGGAGGGGTTCAGTGTCTTGCCCAGGGTCACTCCATGTGACTGCTGGTGGATTTGAACCCCCAACTCTCCCAGTGGAGGATGGCTGCTCTAACCACTCATGCCTCCCTTGCTCCTTCACAGCAATCAGCCCTGATCATATTCACACCTAGTTCATGCCTGTACCTCAAGTCTTGTTTTGGATTACAACCTCACGCCTGATTTCTGGATTATCGCTTTGCCCGCTCCTTGACCTGATTTGAATTACTCTCTCTGCCCACGGTAACGAACTCTGCTTCTGTTTATACTACTACGCCTCTCAGATTACGTTTTTGGATTTATTTATTTGGAACTCTGATCTACTGTTTGACCTCCGATACATCTCTCGGACCACGCTCTTGGACTTGCATGTGTATATACTTTGCAGTTTTTAACTTACCACGGGGCTTCAGGGTACGGATCCCCAGCAACAAACGAGGGACTACTGTACAACTATTTTACAGTATGTATGCTTGGATGATATTTTTCAACAGACTGAACATGTTTCAAGTACTCCCCCCCCCCCCCCCCCCCAGCAGCTCTACCAGTTGCGCCACCGTGCTGCCTAGTATCATAACTTGAACCCCAAATTCCAAACCCCCCAAAAATATATCATATAATCAAACTGCTTTTATTTGTAAAAAAAAAAAGAAAGAAATGCAATTATTATTATAGCTGCCTACAAATGTCCCATATTGCTATAACAATATAATCTAACTTTGACACTGCAGGTCTTAATGAACTAAGATTTAAACTGCACAATGTTAATAAGAAAATCACTGATACTTGGATCAATTCACATCGCCCTACCTCACTGATGAAAAAGTCATAATATACAGTATGTGTCCAATTTAGTAGCACAAACCAGCCGGTCAAAGCAGATGACCGCTTGTCCTGAGCTGGTTCTGCTGGAGGTTTCCTCCTGTTAAAAGGGAGTTTTTCTTTCCACTGTCTCCACTGTGCTTGCTCAGGAGGGGAGACTGCAACAAAGCCAAGATTCAACTTGTCTGCTGGATTCCTTAGATAGAGAACTTTACTAATCGGCTTTTTTATGTATGCGAATGTTCCTGTAAAGTCCCAGAGACAACTTTGTTGTGACTTGGCGCTTTATAAATAAACTGAATGAATATAAAAAAGATAGAAAAAAGTTTTAGGCCACATTTGTCTGCAGTGTGAACATAACCTTAGTTTTCTAAAACTGGAGTTTAGTCCATGCTAAGACCTAACAAAATGTAAGTTTTGTTATTTAAACATTTTTAATATTTATGGTTTTAGTTGTTTTGCATTAGTTCTGAGAACACATTGTACATCCAGGTAAACAGGTAGTTGTAAAAAAAAAAAGAGCTACTCCTAATTCAGTGTGAATATTTTGGTTTACTGGCTGAGTTTCTCCACATCACTGTCCTTCCAGCAGCTTCCTGCTTTATGAGCAAGCTCACTCTGAGGATGGGTACGTAACGGTGAGAAAGATGGCGAGCCTTCAGAAACTGAAGTGTTCAGAAACAATTAACAAGTTTTACAATCCAACAAACAAACAACTGACTTGATTCATTCAAATATCAGTTGAATTGGAGTGAAACAATCCATTTGTTTTGGAGCCAAATATTTTTGTAACCCCTTAAGTTCATAGTTCGGCAGATGCAGCGCTATCATCACTGAAAGACTTCTAATTTACACTCAACACAAAATTGTACCTATTTTCTTTGCCATTCTGCAGCAGAGAGTGCCTGTCAACGCCTGAGCGATCTGTGCACACATACGTGTTCCGACGTGTCATGGTGCTCCCAGGGATGTTATTCTGCACAAAAAAGAAGTTTGGCACACTGTGAAGACTTCTAAACATGGATGGCTGCAGAGAGCATCCACTGTGTAAAATAAAGTAGAACAGAACAAAGTTTGAGTAAACTAATAATGAGAAAACTCTCATTCAAATGAAAAGGCCAAAAAAAAAACAAACAGCTGCTGTTTGTCTAAAAATGAACACATTTACCGTAATTTCTGGACTATACGCCGCTACTATTTTAACACTCTTTGAACACCGCGGCTTATACAATGCTGCAGGTAATTTATGGATTTTTTTTTTGAAGGGCTATGATGAGCTTCCTTCCATCAAAACATTTGGCCTCGTCACACCTGGGTGCTCACATAGCTGCTCAATACACCTGTCTCTTGGGGGGTGGGTCCTTGTGGCTCAATGAGGCTACTTGTATAAATAAAGGTAAAAAAAACCCAGACCAATGAAATTCCAGTTTGCCCCCTCCCTGGGGCACAACGAGGTATTTGCAGTCACTCGGCATCAGTGTGAATCGTGCATTAATGTGGCACTCTGAGCTCGGTGGGAGACTTGGATGACTGGCGGCGAGAAATCGTTTACCAAAACTGTCCACATGCACAGAGCAACTTTTGCTCAAGTCAAGAGTTTTTACCCCCCTGACAGCGGAGCAGGGTAAGAAAAATCCTCCATCTACTGGTTTCCAAAGGCTGCTGTGTGATGAAGAGGACAGCCCAAGCTCATGGGCGCAGGAGGAAGACGAGGATAGCAATCAACGACTTCCTGGTAGGCTACTGTATTTATTTTTTAACCAGCTGTGTTACAGGCAATGTAAAAAATAAACTGTATGTATTTTTGTATGTTACCGATACACATTTAATCAAAAGTTTAAAAAATATTTCAGTGTAAATATTTCATGTTACAATGTGGACACCCGCAGCTTATAGACAAGTGCGGCCTATATATGCACAAATTATTATAATTTTTTTAAAATTCAGTGGGCGAAGTAAAGGTGAGCTCATTAGTCCAGAAGTTACGGTACTTTTTAAAAACTATTTATAGGTATATGTTTACTGTGTGGAATCATCCAAAACCAGTGTCCTGACTAATCAGAAGTTCTGAAACCCAAAGCTTGTTGCTTGTCGTGAGATCCACTTAGTCGGACTCGTTGCTCACTGACCGTGGTGGCGATCATGTCCTTGCGGCGGTCAGGGATCTCCGACTTGTTGGGGTTGTTGGCACTGCTGACCATTGGGCTGGAGGGAGGCAGGCTGTGGCTCCCCATCACACTGCAGCTGGCTTTACGTGACGGCATCCTGCCCTCCCGCAGCTCCCGGTCACCTGTGCTGGTCGGGCTCCTCTTCGGGTGCATGACGGGCATGGAAGGTCCGCCTTTGTTGTGGAGGACAGCATAGCACAGACACAGAGACTCATATAAGGAATATTCTGTGGATTCAGCGGGAGTCCTCACACTAGTTCAAATACATTGAGTATTTGTAAAACTTGGCTAAAATTTCTATTTTTCTATCATTGAAACTGCCATTTATTTTAATATCACCTGCTGCCAAAAGGAAACAAGTGGATTAAAATGTATTTGTCTGTCTGTTCTGGAAAAATCTCCTTTCTCATTTAATGGATTTTGATGAAAGTCTCAAAGTATTCATTAGATGCAAATCTGCAATTGAACACCTTAGTTCTTTATGGTGGCCAGAGGGTGAATTCCAATTCAAGATGGCCGCCACAGTTAATCTAACAATCACAAACTAATCTGACATCCTCTGAGAGTTAACAGATTGTGTGAGAGCTTTAAATCATAGCCATCAACTATCACTGCCAACTCTGTCCTTTTTTTGGTCTGTCAGCAAAATTTCTCATGAACCAATTAAAATATTTTAATAAATCTGTACAAAGTAATCATTAGGTGTACATCTATAATTGCTTAACTTTTGAGGTCATTCTAATATATAATGGCCACCACCACTAACTTACCTCACAAAACTGATTATGACTCCGTTAATTTCACAAATATTCAGCCCAAATTTGGCATTAGTGGCTGAAAATTATTGCCAACATATAATCTGAGCACTCCACATTGTGCAAGATTGTTGCCTAAAATAACTGCTTGAGATAACTGTTTCAATGCAGTGAAATATCTCAAACCACTCGACAAATTTTAATAAAACACTTAAAAATAATCATTCATCAGCCATTGCATTTAAAACTTAACCTATGGAGTCGGCACAATTCAAGATGGCAGCGCAGCACAAAGTGACCTTAGCCAACACAACAATGGCTACACCTTTTACAGATACAGCTTTAAAAGGGACTAAGCTAATTTGTTGTGCTAGTAGCTGAGCGTCATCCTGAGCAAATACTCAAAGCACTAATGGATCATACATCATTTGGGGGATTTGACCAAATCAGCTTGAAGTCCATCATTTCACAACATAAAATTATCTTGGTGTAAAACTCTGGCACAAAAGGAGGTGAGGGAAATTATTTACTTTAATACTACTAGTTCTTCAACGGCCAAGCCCAGAGTGAAGTCAGATAAGAGACTCACAGAAGTCGCTGTGTCGTCGCTGCCTGTGATACGTGGAGGAACTGCGCTGGGTCTTGCTATGTGAGGAGGAGGTGGAGGAGGAGGAACCAGTGGCTGACGAGTGCTTGGTGGTCCCATTGGTGATGGGGCTTGGTCGAACTCTTGCCAAAGACAGGCTGCTAGCCGTGCGGGCATCACTGCTTTCCTATAATGTCCCAGAGACATTGAACAGAAAGTTGTACCTCACAAAGAGATGGATACATTTGATGAAGAACAAAATGGCGTGTTGTCAAGAACAAATATTCAAATCAGAAAACAGAAGCGACTGAAGAACCTAAAAACAATCAAAAATGCTGTAGGCTCTTGGTCTTCTCATTTAAAACTTGTCTTTGTAGAAAAGATCCATGTTTTTCCTTCCAATTTTATTTTGCAACATATTTTACTCCATCGCCCCTCAAATACAGAGCTACATCTAAAGAACTAGAATACAGAAGTCCCTCGTTTATCGCGGGGGATCCGTACTCTGAAGCCCCGCGATGATTGAAAAACTGTGAAGTAGGAATAGTAGTACAAGTAGTAAGTAGTAGTTTATTTTAGTGTGTATGTGTGTGTGTATATATATATATATATATATATATAAAAGCTCTAAAAGAGCACATAATGATTTCAGCTCTCCGCCTCCTCTCTGTCACGGCTGCACTATGCGCTCTCAGCCACGCCCACTTCTCTGCTGCAGAACGGAGATCCACAGAGTGCTAAATTATTTTAAATATTTAATGCTAAATAAAAATTCCATGCCAATCATGTGGCTCATCCATCAATCAGCCAATTGTGCATCATGTCTAATCTTATTTTGAAAAAATGCGATTGAGTGAGTTCGCGAAAAACGGATCGTGATGTAGCGAGGGACTAAATGTTTTGTGAAAAAGTTCAATATTTTTGTCAGTCATTTCATAAAGTGAAACTCACATATTTCATAGGTTTATTACACATAGAATTAAATATTCCAAGACTTTATTCCTTGTAATTTTGATTATCATGACTTACAAATAATGAAAACCCCAAATTCATCCATCCCTATGTCCATCCATCCATCTACCCGTCCGACCGTCCATCCATCCATCCATCCATCCATCCATCCATTATCTTCCACTTATTCTGAAGTTGGATCTCGGTGACAGCTTCTTGAGCAAGCAGGCCCAGATATCTCCTTCCACTGCCAGCTCTTCTGGGGGTATTCCAAGGTATTCCCAGACCAAGTGAAAGACATAGTCTCTCCAGCATGTCCTGGGTCTTCCCTGGGGTCTCCTCCCAGTGGGACATGCCAAAAGTACTTCCCTAGGGAGGTGCCTAGGAAGCATCCTTACCAGATGCCCGAACCACCTCAATTGGCTCCTTTTGATGTGGAGGAGCAGCAGTTCCGACTCCCGAGTCTCTCCCGGATAACTGAACTTCTCACCCTATCTCTAAGGGAGAGTCCAGCTACCCTATGGAGGAAACTCATTTCAACCGCCTGTATCCACGGTCTCATTCTGTCGGTCACTACTACGGGGCGGCTGTGGTTGAGTGGTTAGAGCAGTCAGGCTCCATTGTGAGAGTTGGAGGTTCGGTTCAATTCCAGCAGCAGTCACGTGCTGAAGTCACATGCGAATGACAATAACCTTGACTTGAAATGGCTCTTGGCCTTGAAGTCGTTGTTCTTGGTTGCATACTATCTGGGTATAGAACTAAACCTTACAAGTCTACAGTAACTTTAACTTTTACTGAGATGTTTGAAAATTACTCAGAGTTTTATTTGTTTGCAGGTACCCCCAAACAAAGACTAAACAGATGGATCACAAATGATAATCCCGGTTAAAAAAATAGTATAACAAAACATTTCTTGAACATTTTCTCCTTAAGATATTTATTTTCCTAATCACAGGATTTAAGTTGCTGTCTTTTGTAAAAATTATATGGAAACATTTATTGAGCTAACTGGCTGATCACATAAAGAATAAATTATTCATAAATAATCTGTATCTGTTTTTGTTTTACCTCAAGATTTAAAAAGTTTTTGTTCATTAACAGCTGCTACGCCAGATGCTGCCATTACAGAAAACTTGGGGTTTTCGGTTTCATTTATAAATGATGTAAAAAGCCCTTTGCTTGTTTGAGTAATGAATTTTTATAAATTAGGAATTTTAGATTTTTACAGAAGCTTTTTTCTTTATTTATTCAGACCTGCAAAACAATAAGAACAGCTTCCAAACATTTTAAAGACGGCAAATTCAACAAATTCTGTTTATTTTCCATTTCTTCTCAAACATTTCTATCAAAACCACAAATAACTTTTTCTCTAGTTTGAGCTACTAAAACTTTTCTCATGGCGCACACAACACAAGCTGCTCATTTTTAGCCGTGGCTGCTTCTGACTCGTCAGTTTTTTCTTGTTCCTTTTTCTTCTTCCAACACATCTTGAAAGACAATGTTTCTTTGCTGCTTAATGCTATTTTTCCTTGTAATAAACTTGAATTTGGTTAAAGTCTTACTCCTAAAGAAACTTTAGAAGTTAATCCAGTGCTACTGCCAATGAATATAAACAATAAAAAGTGGATCTCTGAAACTCACGTCGCCTTTTCGTCCGAGCAGTAAGTAGGTGGCTGTGACCTCGTTGTACTTCTGATTGAGCAGAGAATCTTTGATTTCATCTGGAGTGAAGCCCATCCCGACCATCACCTCTGAGTCAGACACAGCACCAACAACAACAGGTCATGAAAGAGGCCAAACATCCGGGATCCTGACTTCTGTCATCAGGTGTGATAAGACAAACAGGCCAGCTCACCGATACGAGTCGGATCACTGTAGTCCTCCACAGGTTCAATATGAGGCTTCAGCTCGTCCCCCTCATACCCTGTGTTGATCCATTTATCCTTCATGACTTGCTGCAGGGACACAGACAAACATCACCTGACGTTTTTTGGTTTCTTTGTGTCCTGTCTAGTAGAGTTGCATTCGGGCCTAATAAATCTGTCCTGGACTGGATCGAGCCCGTAGTAGTTTTCCGAGCCCTACCCGGACCCAACGGATTACCGGTAATAAGAGGGCCGAATCCAGGAAAAAAATAAAATAAAATAAATTAAGCTTTTACTGCTTTTGTAAGCAAACAGTTTGACATGATGGTTTTAAAAACATAATGAAAGGAAGCTATAAGATTTATTTTTATTATTAACCTACCAAATGGATATTAACATACAAAACAAATAGCCTAAAAAAATCAACTGTAAAGATAGGCTATTATACAGATGGACAAAAATATTTTTAGAGCAAAATTATTTGGAAAAATATATAACAAGGCTATTTTAATTGAATGAGTTGCTCGCTTCAGCTTTTGTAGATGCTGCTACTTCCTTCACTGCAGGTGACAGCAGGTGCGGAGACGCGTCCAGCCGGTGATCAGCTGATTGATCCATCCATTCATCCATCTGTTATCTTTAACCACTTCTTCCTTTTTGGGTAGCGGGGGTCACTGGTGCCCATGTCCAGCAGTCACTGCGAAAGGTGGGGTACACCCTGGACAGGTCTCAAATCCATTTTAACCGGCGAGTCAGCAGACGCACTCAGCCGGTGACGGGTTGTCCATCTGAGCTTAACGTGACTTTTTAAAACCTCTTTAATCCGGCTGGTCGGGCCTGCCTCCCCCTCAACAAGTACATTTAACACAATTTTATATTGTGCATTCTTATTTAGTTTTCTTTGTGCTGTATGATTCGCAAAACCGCAGAAGCCTGAGCCCACATGCACAATTATTGAGCAATGCACCAGTGATCTCTTCCACAGTCTAATTAACGGCTGCACTGTTCTTTCTTTCTTCATCCTCTCATTTTATTTGTGCTGTGTGATTCGTGAAATTGCATCAAAGCCCGAGACCAGCCCGGCTCGCACATTAATCACATTAATCACATTATAACGGCACGGACCAGCCCTAATCCGGGTCGGTCTGGGCCAGGATTCAGGTTCGGGTTAGAGATGACCGCTCTACTGTGCGGCATTGTGGCACTCAGAATTGTTGTTGGAGTGTAAAGGTGAGGTCCAACAGATTTACTTTCATAAGTGGAGCATTACGGCTGGCCATAATGCTCCACTTGATATATAAATAAACTTTATTAGAATTTGCTTTGGGTTTGTTTCAGATGTAATGGACACAGGGATGAAAAACAAAGAAGAAAAGAAAGGCAGAAACGTGGGAGAAGGGTTAAAAGGGAAAGAAGGAGATAAGAGTAGAGGAGAGTGATGTACAGAGAGAACACAAATCAACATTACTATAGTCTGTCTCTAGACCTGCGGAAAGAGATAAAAGAAAACAACAAACAACATATGCATAAATTCAAAAAGCGTTCAATACAAAAAAAACATATGCATATATAATGATACTTATAACATCATTGGGAAGTATTGTATATGGTACATGGTAATGGTAGCATCCATCCAACTAAGGTTCCTCAAAAGAGACGGAACATCCTCAGAGACATTACATCTCTTCTATCCCTCTCTCTACTAAATCTACAGTTCAGGTCAACATCCTGACCACCCCTGGTTCCATACTGTATGATAATTAACTATCTGTGTTAATTCACCCTCTCTCCTGGGAAGAGACAGACTTGATGTCTCCGAAGAGAAGTACAAACTTTACCATACTAAAATTAATGAGGTTGCCATAGTAACAATGGAAGTAACACACTGTTTTACAGTATTGTGTCAGGAATCAAACTTGCATTTGCTAAAAGAATGGTGTTTATGAAAAACAAGGTGTCACCATGTTTAACAAAAGCTATTGTGTTCCCCTCCGAGACTTGAGTGAAGGGTATAATTAATGTATGCAGTCGGTTCACACCCACGGGTGCATAACTGCATCTGACTGGCCAAGATTACGGACACGACCACTTAGGTGTTTTCACACTAGATAGTCCGGTAGACTCGGTTCGGTTCGGGACCAATATTCATGACCTTTTGTTTACATTTGAGCTGGTGCGTTTGCATTCACACTGCACTGTGCAGTCGAGTCAACCTGTTCCCCTGCTCGCCTGTGGGGGCGCTGCACCAAGAACTACTGAAAGAAACGACACAAAAACCTCTGAAGACACGTTTCTTCTTCTTCTGGAAATAAAAATAAAAACGAAGTGGCATCAAGTTTTAGCAGTTTTAGGAGTTATATTTTGTCATTTTTCAAAAATGGACTCATCATGAGCAGAAGATGAGACAGAAGACCATGGAGAATATTATTTTTCACACAAGGCAGCTGACTACTCCATATAAGGTCAGAGAAATGCGTGTTTGTTTGTCCTGTGGAGCGGTCCGGTCTGTGTACATTCACACTGTACTCGAACCGCGCTGGAGTTCGCTTTTACTGGACCGAGACCTAGGTTTTAGCCCGGGCCAGAGTTCACCTTTTTGTTCCGTGACAGAGTTCGATGGTGCGTTCACACCTCCCCAAACGAACCGGACTTTCTAGGAAAACGAGCTAGAGTTCGATTAAAGCGGATTAACAGGGCTAGTGTGAATGCACCCTCAGTGTGTCAAGGTAAGCTGACACGTCAGGTAGTTGTTGATGAGGATAGTTGCAGAGAAGAACTCTCTGGAGAGAGCAGTCTCATGATGGAAGAAATTGTCCGAAGCTGGTAGACGTGGGCCGTCTGGGACTCCGATCCAATCAGCTGAGAAATGGAGAGAAGTCCTTAACTTGCTCGGACAGCCTGAGAATGATACCTGAATCAGACATGGCCCTGGGGGAAAACAACCCTCTGGTAACCGTATGGACCTCCGGCTTTTGTATCATATCCGCCGTGGTAATGAGAAATGGACATCTTCCTGGTAAGACAAACGTCTTCCTTCTGATGAGAAAACAACTAAGTGCCAACTAAGTTTAGACATAATTTAGTTAACGAATATGAGATAAAGTTTACCTCAATTTTAACGTAAAACCTTTGTCCAAATTGAATACCTCTTCTCAAAGTCTTTATTATTTACATAATTCACTTTCTGAAATAATACTATTGGTTATTCATCCATATTTCATATTTGCTATAAGTATATATTGTCGTTATTCACAAGCTGACAATAAACGTTACAGAATTGTGTATTTAAATTATCAGATTCTTTGTCTTCTCTTCGAGTGAGAGGGATTACAAATGTTATAAGGACTCACATTAATGCTTTTGATTGAGGTGATCAACATTTATTATGTAACTCTGAGATCTGAATACTTTTTTAACAGGTGTTTATGCTAATGTTCAAAGGGTTTCCCCTACATAATACAAGATGTATTAATGGCCACTGCAACCCAACTGAGTGTGTATCTGATAAACCCCTGAATTTAAACATGTGTATGTATTTGTATGTGAGCATGCTTGTCACTATACAGTTTCTCCATAAGAATGTTCAATAGTGGGTGTGGGGACCCACAGATCCGTCCCCCCAGGACGTGATGATGACACAGGAAAACTGGAGCCACAGACACCCAGCGGCCCCCAAGTTCAGAGCCCCGGGCGACCCCCAGCAGCCACAATGCAGAGACTCAGGGTTTTAAGTTTGGGCTTGAAGACGTCACCTGAGTTTGAATAACAGGATGCAACTCGTGTCTTCATATGTGTGTGTTCACCTCAAGCGTGCAGCGTTTGGTGGGATTGAGCACCAGAAATCTGCGAAGGATGCCCTCGCAGTCGGTCGACATGTAGAAGGGCACACGGTACTTCCCTCTCAGCACACGCTCCCTCAGCTCCTGTTGGCGCCATCACAGGAAATAGAGAAGAATAACTGAATCCAACCAACACATGTGACTAATGTGCCAGTACTTTTAAATATGGAGCAGGTAACATAATGTAGATGACCAACAAAGAAAAATAGATGTGAAAATCTCAGATAAGTTCATTTATGGGTAGACGATTAGACTGCTATTGGATGGAGAAGGATTAGAATGTGTTGATGATCCACAAAACAGAGGGATAGTAGGATTGTCTATAGGGCCTTATAAGAAATAATATCCCACTTCATAAAAGCCTTCCACAACAAAAAGGTGTTACCTGGAAAAAAAAAATTGTCTAGAGACAAAACTGACAGAGTCTAAGTCAAGTCAAGTCAACTTTATTTATAGAGCACTACAGAGTCTAAGAGCAGAGTGTGTCAATATGCCGCATGTGCAAATTTTAAGAAATTGTTTGTGAAGACCCAAGCTTAGTCTGAGACTAAAATAATCATACATACAGTCTGAAACTGAAGCTTGCTGTCAACTCTAACAATGTAAGAGAATTTAAGCATGGAGAATATGCAAGAAAAAGTATAGTATCAAATCTGGATTTAAAAACTACCAGGAGTTCACAACAATGAACATAAACAAATAAGCAATAAACTTTCAAAAAGCTTAAATCACTCTGGTAAACTTTGATGTAAACACCAGAAGTGGAGGAGTAGTCACTGCTTCACCCTCTTTCATTTTTGCAACAACAAAATTAAAGAGTGTGAAGCAGAACAACTCAGAATCAAAGTTTCATCCTGCCTCAGCAATGCCAAATCACCACCTTCCAACATCAGTAGAGAGGAGAGGGATGCACTCACCACTCTTAGCAAGGACAAAAACATCATCATTCTCCCAGCAGACAAAGGAAGGTGCACAGTGATTTTGAACCAGAAAGACTATCATGAGAAAGTTATGACACTCCTTAGTGACTTAACCACTTATGAACCTCTGAAAAGAGATCCAGGAAGTGGTTACAAGAAGAAGTTAACAGATTGCCTGAAAAATTTGGAGCAGGACAAGGCTATTGACCGTTTTCTGTACCACAGACTGTACCCAGGGGAGGCCACACCTAGTCTGTATGGTTTACCTAAAATCCACAAACAAGGTGTACCTTTAAGACCTATTGTTAGCATGATTAACTCGGTCACTTACAATGTTTCCAAATATCTGGCGTCTGTACTCATCCCTTTAGTTGGCAGCTCAGAACACCACATACAGAACACCATGGACTTTGTGGACAAGGTGAGGGATGTCATCATGGAGACTGATGAAACAATGGTCTCTTTTGATGTCACATCACTCTTTACGTGCATTCCTGTTGATGATGCAGTAGAGGTGGTCAGTTTAAGATTAAAATCAGACACCACTCTGAGCAGCAGGACCACGCTTTCCACAGAACAACTGTGTCAACTCTTGAAAATGTGCCTGCAGTCAACCTACTTCACATGTGGGGAGCAATATTATAGGCAGAAACATGGGTGTGCTATGGGGTCTCCAGTTTCTCCTATTGTTGCCAACCTGTACATGGAGGAGGTAGAAAAGAGAGCCTTGACGTCCTTTTCAGGGACACCACCAAGTCATTGGTTCAGGTATGTTGATGACACCTGGGTTAAAATCAAATCTCAGGAAGTCCAACATTTTACTGACCACATCAACTCTGTGGATAAATACATCAAGTTCACACGAGAAGATGTAAAAAATGACAAGTTGGCTTTCTTGGACTGTGAGGTCTCGGTCTCTGATAGAGGACATTTGCAAACTGAGGTGTACCACAAACCCACCCACACAGACCAGTATTTGCAGTTTGACTCCCATCACCCTTTGGAGCACAAGTTAGGAGTCATCAGGACTCTGTACCACAGAGCAGACAGCGTCCCCACTAGCTCAGGAGCCAGGCAGAAGGAGAAATCCCACACAAGAAAGGCTCTAGCAATGTGGATATCCTAACTGGGCCTTCCTGAAAGCAGAGAAGAAACCCAAACAGGACTACAGTCAGCCATCAGGTGAAAAGGAGGAACCCAGACCCAGACCAGTGGTCATTCCATATGTTGAGGGAGTATCAGAGAAACTGAGACGTTTATTTCCTAAACATAACGTCCCAGTGGCTTTTAAACCCCAAAATACATTACGGCAAAGACTGGTTCATCCCAAAGATCCAGTCCCCCGGCACAAACAGAGTAATGTTGTGCATGTTGTTCAGTGTCAGGAGGGTGATCAGTCTTACATCGGGGAAACTAAACGGCCACTGGCCAAAAGGATGGACCAGCACAGAAGATCAACATCATCAGACCAGGACTCTGAGGTCTACACTCATCTCCAGGCCAGCGGTCACTCTTTCAGGGATGAAGATGTGCACATCCTGGACAGAGAGGAACGATGGTTTGAGAGAGGAGTAAAGGAGGCCATCTTTGTGAAAAGAAATCGTCCATCGTTAAACAGGGGTGGAGCCTCCTGGTTCAACTGTCCCCCTCTTACAATGCTGTGATTGCTATTATCACTCAGCCCTCTGTGAACAGTAAACAGCCATCAGGTGCTAATGATCCATTGTTAGGCTGATGGTCCTTCTTGAGCATGTGATCAGCTGGTTTTGGTTGTCAGCAGCAAAACTGGTTGATCCACTCTGAGAAGGTGCTATTTAAGAGACTGAGCTGAATACAGCTCCTCAGACTGAGGAAGTGTTTCGGATGAAAGATGAAACTTATCTAGATTATTTTTTTTTTTTATGTCCAGAGGACCAGACTGAACTTTTGTAGATTTTTCGACCTGGATTATTGAGCATGCATCAGGACATTCAATTAAAACACACTTGAGCAGTATACTGTACAGTTTTTTTTAATTTAATTTGTGGATTGATTCAGTCGTATTGAAAGGAAAAACAAGTGTAATTTACAATATCTATTAAAAACAAACAAAAAAAAACTTTAGCTATTTAACATTTTATAACTGTACACTATAAATTGATAGTGGATTATAGATCCATCCATCCATCCATTATCTTTACCCGCTTATTCCATTTTGGGTCGCTGGTGCCCATGTCCAGCAATCATGAGCGAGGGGTGGGGTACACCCTGGACGGGTCACAAGTCCATCACAGGGACGTGGATTATAGATATTTTCCCCCAAATTATGCAATTTCATTTTAAAGAAATTAGCACATTTATGTATTTTTCATGAGTAACAACTATTTACAGTATTTACAGTGATTCACAGCTTGAGACTGAATATTAAAAATGTGAAGGAACAAATTGTGATTTGTACATTTTATGATTCTTACTGCATTGATATAAACACAAGGATGAAGGTGTTGAAGTAAAACATGTCAGCAGACTCCTCCACACTTCTTCTGCAACACAGAAGCAGCAGTAAGCCTTGGTTGTAGAAGCTGTACTCCTGCAGAACATCTGTACTGCTCCCTGGCTCTGGCCTCTGAGAAGATGTTTCCAGTGACACTTGCAGAGACTGAAGATGTGAAGTGTGGACACAAAACACACGTTGGGAAGACTGCAGCATCAGAGGAAGAGCAGGGAAGTGTGGAGCAATGTGGTCCAGAATGATGCTACGCAGGACTTCTCAGGTGGGCACTGGTAAGACATCTGTGAGCCCTGTGGCACAGGACCACATCTGGATGGTACCAGCTCCAAACTTAGGACGAGCGATAAGTGGTTGGGACTTCAGCTGACGTAGTTTTTCTCCTGCTGTCACCCAGTGAGATTTAAAACAGATAACTGTTTTTAGCACATACATATAATACTTGTTATAACATATTTAGCTTTAAACAAGTAATAGATTCTAGTCTGAAGATGAGCTGAGACATCAGCAGAACAAAACAGACTGCTGCTACAACAACAGAAGACAAACTAACCAGTGAGCAGGAAGATGTTACTGTAAGCTCTCAGTACAGAAGTTGTCCATCGTACGTCAAAGTTCTTCAGCTGTCATAAATAAAGCATCTAGCTCTGACAACTACCTGTCCCTCGACAATATTTGACCTGTAGTTATGCAGAAGCACAATTTGAACATCAAGCATCATAACATCTTATAACTAACATCTAGTACGTTTTCTTTCACAAATTGTTATGGCAAACACACATCAGAATGTTAAAATATCATTTAAAAGTTTATACCACATCTGTCTCAAATACTCATAATAATTTAGCACACTAAATTAGGCTTTATTACGATGTTTATGTACTTCATATGTTGTAGCTAACGGTTAGCTCGCTAAGCTACATCTTTTCTTACCTTGATAGCTGTTGATATATTCTTCATGGAAGAACTTTTATCCTTTCTCAAGTATTTGGTTCGAGAATTCACCGCTGCGATTTCCTCCACATCAGCGAAAGAAAAGCCTGGCATTTGCATAGACTCGCGAAAGCCGGAAGTTACCCAGCACCTTGAGACGCTACTTCCGGTTGTCATGAAAAAGGTCTATTGTATTTATTAAGATTTTTATTATTGTTAGTATAGTTTATTTATTGCAAAGAGTGCTGTTTATTTATAATATCATTATCCAAATGTGCTGCTTTTTATTTAATTTTTATACAAATGTATTGTTTACTTGGCATATTTTCAAAATAAACATTTTGTAAGTCTTTATTTCGGCTTTTTTGTACCGAAAATTAGCCGAACCAAGGCCCACCTTGAAACCGAACCGGACCGAAATGTGATTTTAGTGTACCGTTACACCCCTATTATTTATACACTCCACTGCCAAAAGCAAATAAAAATGTGCCCAGGAAACAAAAAATGCCTAATTACGTATCGGATCGCGCACATTACTGTCCAAATCACACAGAGATGCCTATTCGCATTGGATTAGTATTATCACAGGACTTCGAAGTTCAGCAAAATAAAGTCAGAGTCAGTCAGTCAGAGTCAGAGTTTCTTTATTGTCATTCGCACCTCATGTGGTACATGTGGTGGAGCGAAATTATGTACACAGGGTCCCAGTTACATCCAACAATAAAATGTATAAGAAAAACAGTAATAACATCTAAGATATGAACTAAGAAAAACATCAACTAAATATACACTAAGCACTCATAACATAAAACATTGAACATCACCACAAACATGAACATGAGTCTGTGAGCAGATGTGCACGCATGAACACATCAACATTGAAACAGATCAGCAGCAACATGAAACAGATCAGCAGCAACATGATGTGGTTTTTCACAGTGATTATTCTAGTTAGAGATTCATGAGTCTAACAGCCTCAGGGTAGAAGCTGTTCCTCAGTCTAGTGGTTCTACACTTAATGCTCCTTAACCTCCTTCCTGAGGGGAGTGGGGCAAAAAGTGTGTGTGCTGGGTGGGTGGGGTCCTTCATGATGCAGGTGGCCCTCTTCCTACATCTGGAGGTGTAGATGTCTGTGATGGTGGGGAGACTGACTCCAACAGATTTCTGTGCAGCCTTCACCACTCTCTGCAAAGCTTTTCTTTCTGCAGCTGTGCAGCCTCCATGCCACACATTGATGCTGGAGCACAGGATGCTCTCCACTGCACACCTGTAGAAGGAGGTGAGGACTGAGCTTCCCAGACCAGCTCGCCTCAGCCGTCTGAGGAAGTAGAGTCTCTGATGAGCTTTCTTGATCAGGCTGGTGGTGTTGTTGCTCCAGCTGAGGTTGTCATTCATGTGTACACCCAAGTACTTGTAGCTGGAGACCACTTCCACCGCAGATCCTCTTATGTTCAGGGGGGTGTAGGTGTTTTTGTTCCTTCTGAAGTCCACAATCATCTCCTTTGTCTTCTTCACATTGATGTGAAGGTTATTCTCTCTGCACCAGCTCTCCAGGTGTTCCACCTCCTGCCTGTAGCTGGACTCATCATTGTTTGTGATGCATCCCACCACCGCTGTATCATCTGCAAACTTTACAATGTGACAGCCTGGATGGGTAGCTGCACAATCATATGTGAGCAGAGTAAACAGAAGGGGGCTCAACACACATCCCTGAGGAGAGCCAGTGCTGAGGGTTATGGTGGAGGAGGAGAGGTTGTGGATCCTCACTAACTGTGGTCTGTTTGTTAAAAAGTCTAGTACCCAGTTGCAGATGGAGGGGCTTAGTCCTAGTGTGGATAGTTTGTCCATCAGGGTTTGGGGGATCATGGTGTTGAAGGCGGATGTGAAGTCCACAAAGAGCATACGGACGTAAGAGTTTTTCTGCTCCAGGTGGTTGAGCGCAGTGTGGACCACAGAGGAGATTGCATCCTCTGTTGATCGGTTCTCACGGTATGCGTACTGATGAGGGTCCTCGTTGATGTTGATGGTTGTTTTGATGTGAGTCATGACCAGTTTTTCGAAGCATTTAGCGACTATCGGGGTGAGGGCCACTGGCCGATAGTCATTCAGACCAGTCACTGTAGAGCTTTTTGGGACTGGGATGATGGTGGCAGTCTTCAGGCAGGTGGGAACTGTCTCAAGGGTAAGTGAGGTGTTAAAGATGTCTGCCAGCACCTCACAGAGCTGATCAGCACATTCCTTCAACACTTTTCCGGGGATGTTGTCTGGGCCAGTTGCTTTGTGCGGATTAATCCTCCTGAAGGTACTCCTTACTTCTGCTGAGGTCACGCTGAGATGCTCTTCATCCGGTGGTGAGGTGAGTCTGGTGCTGGGTGGTCTGTTCGGGTCTTCAAAGCGTGCATAGAACTTGTTGAGGGCATCAGGCAGAGATGGGTCTTTGGGACATTGTTCACTCCTTCCTTTATAATCTGTTATGCACTTAATGCCCCTCCACATGCTCCGAGGGTCTTGTGAGATGAATTGACCCTCGATCCTCTTTGCATATGTGGCCTTGGCCCTCTTAATACCAGCAACCAGCTCTTTTCTTGTCCTACTCAGCTCCTCTGAGTTTCCAGACCTGAAGGCAGTGTTCCTGGCTTCCAGCAGGGTACGCACCTCTGCATTCAGCCAAGGTTTTCTGTTTGGGTAGCTTTTAACATTTCTGATAGTGGAGACTGTGTCAGTACATGTACTAATGTAACCCAGTACTGAGGATGTGTATTGGTCAAGATCAAGCGAACCTCCATTTTCAGCAGCTTCTCTGAAAACCTGCCAGTCTGTTCGATCAAAACAATCTCTCAGTATGGGTCCACTGTCCTGGATCCAGCATTTAACTTTCTTTTGTACCGGTCTGGAGCGTCTCAGCGGGGGCATGTAAGCAGGAGCCAGGAAGATTGAGATGTGGTCTGACAGTCCTAGGTGGGGGCGGGGTTCGGCTTTGTATGCATCTTTTACGTTCGTGTAAACACGGTCCAGCGTGCGGTCTCCACGTGTCGGAATCGTCACATGCTGATTAAAGCTTGGGAGACAGTCCTTTAGATTCACGTGGTTAAAGTCTCCGGCTACAACGTAAAGAGCCTCGGGGTGTTTGTTCTGCAGCGAGCTGATGATATCATGTAGCTCCTGTAGTGATTCATTAGCATTAGCGTCCGGAGGAATGTAAACAACTGTGATAAAAGTCACTGTGAACTCTCGGGGTAGATAATGTGGCCGACATTTCACTGTTATTTGCTCCAAAGCCTTCGAGCATGAGCTATTTACAACAGTACAGTTCGTGGACCAACTTTTACTCACGTAAATGCACACTCCGCCCCCCCGTGATTTCCCCGTTAGCTCGCTGCAGCGGTCCGCTCGAAAAAAAAGTCTGTCATCCAGCTGGAAGACTGAGTCCGGCGTTTCACTTGTAATCCACGTTTCTGTGAGGCAAAGCACTGCACACTTCTTCATCTCTTCTGAGGCGCCCGCTCTCAGACGAAGTAAATCCACCTTGTTGTCCAACGAGCGGACATTCGACAGAAAGAGAGACGGCATGGGGAGTTTACCGGCTTTAGCGTTAGCTCGTAGCCTCACCATAACCCCCGCCCGGCATCCTCTCCTCTTAAGCCGGGAGCAGCGCTTCCTCTTCTGCCCGCTGGAACGCCTCTGCTGCAGCTTCCAGGTAGATGACTTTAAGATCTGCATTCTGCCGAGCGTAGCTTTGAGTTTGTTGCTGATTTCTGCTATATTTCGTGGCAAATCCGCTCCTATTCTCATCAGTTCGGTTCGGCTATAGTTCACACGCATAAATCGCGCAGAGTCAGGCACAGAGTAGGTAATTTGCAAGGGAATTTTTACTTTACAAATTACTGACATGGCCGATTTGCACGGGATCAACAACACAGGCAATCTCCGTAATTATTACAAACTGCACGTGGTCCCTAGGTAAAACTAAACCCGTGCAAATAGGGCTTTATACTCAGAAGCGACTTGTATATGTTTTTTCCCACTTCATGAGGCATTTTTGACTGATGCGACCTATACTCCGAAGTGACATATAGTCCGGAATATACTGTAAATTGCTTTTATCATGTTTTATCATGCATATCATGTTTTCTTTCCTTTTCTCATCTAAGCAAAATATTTTTCTGAATAAGAATGAGAAGGCCACGCTAATTATTTATAGCCGCAGCTTCGTGCACTCCGCCCATCTTCGGACGACTGTACGTACATATTCGCGTTGTATCTCGGTGCAATGCCAATAAAGTTTATTTTGATTCTGATTTATTTTGAACACAAACTGGATTGTTGGAACACATGCACATTGGAACCAGACTAGTTATAATTGCATTAGAACTTTACAAAAAACATATGAGTATAACCTGCCTTGAGATTCTGCCCATCAAAAGGCAGTGAGCCGCTGACCAGAGTGTAGAGTATGACGCCCAAACTCCAAACGTCCACCTCAGGCCCGTCATACTTCTTTCCCTGGAAAAGCTCCGGGGCAGCATAAGGGGGAGAGCCACAGAAAGTGTCCAGCTTGGTTCCTAACGTGAACTCATTGCTGAAGCCGAAATCTGCAATCTTGATGTTGGCATCAGCATCCAGCAGAAGGTTCTCCGCCTAGGTCAGGTCATTTCGAGCAAGTGGTGTCGACAGACAAAGGAGAAAAATGAGACCAAATATTAAAAGAAGCAATGTGAATCAGAGGACAAAAAGGTGAACGATAGAGGAGAGAAATTTGAGAAAGAAAGGACAAAAATGACAAAAAATAGTAAATGAACTGTACTCATATAGCTCCTTTCTATTTAATCAAGGTACTCAAAGCTCTTTACAACACAATCTGTGCCCTCATTTACCTCCACACACACATTCATACAGGACTCTACTACATCTCTACAAAGATAATCTGAATCTGTAGAGACTGCGGTACTCAGTGCTTTAGATCATATTCATATACCAATGGACACACAGGAGCGGCTGCGGATAAGTGGTTAGAGTAGTCAATTCAATCCAGTTTATTTATATAGCACCAAATCACAACAAAGTTGTCTCAGGGACTTTACAGGAACATTCACATAAAAGCCAGTTAGTAAAGTTCTCTATCTAAGGAATCCAGCAGACAAGTTGAATCTTGGCTTCGTTGCAGTCTCCCATCCTGAGCAAGCACAGTGGAGACAGTGGAAAGGAAAACTCCCCTTTAAAAGGAAGAAACCTCCAGCAGAACCAGCTCAGGACAAGAGACCATCTGCTTTGACCGGCTGATTGAGAGGACAGGAAGGAGACAGACGAACACAGAATGGTAGGTCCAGGTATAAGTCCAGGTGTACCTGAAAGACCAAAAAAACAAAAAAAAAAACAAAGGATAGAAAAAATAATTACAAATACAAAAAAAGGTTGAGCAGAGTAAGTAAAGACAGAAGCAGAGTGAAAAAGTGTGGTCAGTTTGTACTATAGGATTTCTTCTATAATCTATTGGAACTATAGGATTTAGCAAAAAGGAAAGTCTTAAGCCCAGTTTTAAAACTGGATAATGTGTCAGCCTCACGGACAGAGATTGGAAGTTGGTTCCACAAGAGAGGAGCCTGATAACTGAAAGATCTGCCTCCTATTCTATTTTTGTAACCTCTAGGAACCACAAGTAAACCTGCAGCCTGAGAGCAAAGTGCTCTGTTAAAAAAATATGGAACAATAAAATCTGTAATAGATGGAGCCAGGTTGTTGAGAGCTTTATAGGTTAGAAGTAAGATTTTGAATTATATTCTGGATTTGACAGGGAGCCAATGGAGAGAAGCTAAAACTGAAGACATATGATCTCTCCTACTAACTCCAGTTAAGACTCTGGCAGCAACATTTTGGATCAACTGAAGACATTTTAAAGAAGTATTTGGACACCCAGATAATAAACCATTGCAATAGTCCAGTCTAGACGTGACAAATGCATGGACCAGTTTTTCTGCATCATTTTTAGATCAGATGTTTCTAATTTTAGTGATATTATGCAGGTGGAAGAAGGAGGTTCTAGTAACGTTTTTAATAACTTTACCTAATGGAAGCATATATAAAGTAAAGAGTATTGGCCCAAACACTGAGCCCTGAGGAACTCCATGACTAACTTTGGTGTATGAAGAAGATTTATTATTTACATTTACAAACTGGAATCTATCACATAAATATGATTTAAACTATTTTAGAGCTGTTTCTGTAATCCCAATATCATATTCAAGCCTCTGTAGTAAAATAATATGATCAACTGTATCAAATTCAGCACTGAGGTCTAACAGGACCAGTATACCATACTATTTTATTTATAGAGCACTTAAAACAGCGACAAGGCCAACCAAAGTGCTGTACAGACAGAACAACAGGTAACACACAAAGCAAAATACAAAATGAGGTAAATCAGAATATAGACATAAAAACGATGCAGATAATGACGACAGACCAGTGTGGAGCATACAGGATCAAACACAGATCATCTGGTGTTGAAAGCTACTGAATAGTAGTGAGTTTTTAAATGGGACTTGAAAACTGAGAGGGAGGGGGCCTGTCTGACAAGCAGAGGCAACTCATTCCAAAGACTTGGTCCTGCTACAGAGAAGGCCCTGTCACCTCTGCGCTTAAGACGAGTTCCTGGAACTGTGAGGAGCAACTGGTCCGCTGACCTCAGGGAGCGTGGTGGGACATACGGTTGTAGCAGATCAGAGAGATGGGGGGGGCGACACTGTTCAGTGATTTGTAGACATACATGAGTATTTTGAACTGGATTCGAAGGTGAACTGGTAACCAGTGCAGTGAGGCCAAAACTGGTGTGATGTGCTCTCTTTTGCCTGTACTGGTTAAAAATGGGGCTGCTGCATTCTGGACCAGTTGTAGTCGTGCAACGGAGGTCTGACTGATACCAAACAGGAGTGAATTGCAGTAATCAAGCCTAGATGTAATGAATGCATGTATTACTGTCTCCAGGTTCTTTTTGGACAAAATGGGCTTCAGTTTAGACAGCCGCCTCAGTTGGAAGAAACATGATTTAACAAACATGTTTACCTGATTGTTAAGTTTCAGGGAAGGGTCCATTATCACGCCCAGATTAGTGACTCTGTTTTTCTGACAGGGTTAGAGCGGAGAGGTCGATACAGTGGATTGTGATTGTGTCGTTGGGAGGGAACAACATGACTTCAGACTTCTTTTCATTGAAACTTAAGAAGTTTAAAGCCATCCAGTCTCTGATGTCAGCCAGGCAGTCGAGCAGCGGTTGAATAGAGCATGTACCATTGAGTCTTAGGGGGAAGTAAATTTGACAGTCATTGGCGTAGAAGTGGAAGGGCATGTTGTGTAGCACCAAGCGGCAGCAGGTTTAAAGAGAATAGGAGGGGACCCAGGATGGACCCCTGCGGAACCCCCCAAACACCTGAGCTGCTGCTACAAACACCTGAGCTGCTGCTACAAACATCTGAGGTTTCAGTCTGCCACTTAATGAAACCTCCTGCACCTGGGCTTGAATTAAATCTCCAATAAACCAATTATTTAATTTCTGGAGCTCGCTCTCAGCATGGGAACCGAGATGGGACCCGAAAGTCCCAGACTCCATCCTCAGCCATTCCCACATGTGGTGTCTCTGAACAATTCACCTAATCTCTTGAATTGCTCCCCGGCGTTTACATACAGTGCCTTGCGAAAGTATTCAGCCCCCTTGAACTTTTCAACCTTTGGCCACATTTCAGGCTTCAAACATAAAGATATAAAATTTTAATTTTTTGTGAAGAATCAACAACAAGTGGGACACAATCGTGAAGTGGAATGAAATTTATTGGATGTGTCAAACTTTTTTAACAAATAAAAAACTGAAAAGTGGGGCGTGCAATATTATTGGGCCTCTTTACTTTCAGAGCAGCAAACTCACTCCAGAAGTTCAGTGAGGATCTATGAATGATCCAATGTTGTCCCAAATGACTGATGATGATCAATAGAATCCACCTGTGTGTAATCAAGTCTCTGTATAAATGCACCTGCTCTGTGAGAGTCTCAGAGTTCTGTTCAAAGCACAGATAGCATCATGAAGACCAAGGAACACACCAGGCAGGTCTGAGATACTGTTGTGGAGAAGTTTAAAGCCGGATTTGGATACAAAAAGATTTCCCAAGCTTTAAACATCCCAAGGAGCACTGTGCAAGCAATCCTATTGAAATGGAAGGAGTATGAGACCACTGCAAATCTACCAAGACCCGGCCGTCCCTCTAAACTTTCATCTGGAACAAGGAGAAGACTGATCAGAGATGCAGCCAAGAGGCCCATGATCACTCTGGATGAACTGCAGAGATCTACAGCTGAGGTGGGAGAGTCTGTCCATAGGACAACAATCAGTCGTACACTGCACAAATCTGGCCTTTATGGAAGAGTGGCAAGAAGAAAGACATTTCTCAAAGATATCCATAAAAAGTGTTGTTTAAAGTTTGACACAAGCACCTGGGAGACACCAAACATGTGGAAGAAGGTGCTCTGGTCACATGAAACCAGAATCCAACTGTTTGGACACAATGCAAAACGATATGTTTGGAGTAAAAGCAACACAGCTCATCACCCTGAACACACCATCCCCACTGTCAAACATGGTGGTGGCAGCATCATGGTTTGGGCCTGCTTTTCATCAGCAGGGACAGGGAAGATGGTCAGAATTGATGGGAAGATGGATGGGGCCAAATACAGGACCATTCTTGAAGAAAACCTGTTTGAGTCTGCAAGAGACCTGAGACTGGGACGGAGATTTATCTTCCAACAAGACAATGATCCAAAACATAAAGACACATCTACAATGGAATGGTTCACAAATAAACGTATCCAGGTGTTGGAATGGCCAAGTCAAAGTCCAGACCTGAATCCAATCGAGAATCTGTGGAAAGAGTTGAAGACTGTTGTTCACAAACGCTCTCCATCCAACCTCACTGAGCTCCAGCTGTTCTGCAGGAAGAATGGGCAGAACTTCAGTGTCTCCATGTTCAAAACTGACAGAGACAAACCCCAAGAGACTTGTAGCTGGAACTGCAGCAAGAGGCGGAGCTACACAGTATTAACGCAAGGGGGCCCAATAATATTGCACGCCCCACTTTTCAGTTTTTTATTTGTTAAAAAAGTTTGACACATCCAATAAATTTCATTCCACTTCACGATTGTGTCCCACTTGTTGTTGATTCTTCACAAAAAATTAAAATTTTATATCTTTATGTTTGAAGCCTGAAATGTGGCAAAAGGTTGAAAAGTTCAAGGGGCTGAATACTTTCACAAGGCACTGTAGATGCCCACTGCTCCACCTGGGTGTATCCCAGTTGTGATGGGTTAAATGCAGTGAACCAATTTCTCCATTGTATAGAAACATACAGTGATGACAACATCTAGCACTTTACTTACTTACCTTTAAATCTCTGTGGACAATTTTCTTGGTGTGGCAATAGTGGACAGCAGAGACAATCTGTGAATGCAAGAAAACAAATCTGAAGTCCTGTGTAATAAATGAAAAGACAAGTGCATTGTGAGGTTTCTACCTGTCGAAATTTGGCTCTGGCTTCGACCTCCTTCATCCTTCCATGAGACACGAGGTAGTCAAACACTTCCCCTGCAAGGCAGCAGATCAGTTAGGTCAAAAAGACATTACAATAAATATAGCTTCTATAAAAGTTTGACTTTATTTGTGAAATATTGTTATTAATATTTAATTAAGTTCAACTCTTATTGGTTTTGTCCTCAAGAGGACAATATAATAATAAAATCTCAAAGTGTCCTGATACTGCTCAATAATCCAAGTAGAAAAATCTAACAAGGTTGAGTCAAGTCCTCTGGATAGATTCTTCTTTGTGGAAATGTTTCTTCTTTTATCCAAAAGGTTTCTTAAGTCTTTCAGATAAAAGACGAATAAAAGTGATAAAGGTTAAAAGAGGCAGTTCATCTTAATTAATTTATGATTTTGGTGGGAAGATCAAAACTCTTTTCACCTGTTCAGCCATGATGGGCCTGTTTATTTATATCAACACAGGAGAAGGCTCTTTGCCTTTATACTGTATTTACTTCAGATTGTGTAACTGGGAGAAAAATAACTTTACACAAACAGTGTTTCCTGCTAAAGAGATCCCAACATGGCCACAAGCTAACAGGTGAATTTTTGCTAATATTGTCATGAATGACTTCAAGCTAGCCCTACTTTACGCTTTGACGCTGGACAGAGAGGAACGATGGTTTGAGAGAGGAGTAAAGGAGGCCATCTTTGTGAAAAGACACCGTCCATCATTAAACAGGGGCGGAGCCTCCAGGTTCAACTGTCCCCCTCTTACAATGCTGTGATTGCTAGTATCACTCAGCCCTCTGTGAACAGTAAACAGCCATCAGGTGCTAATGATCCATTGTTAGGCTGATGGTCCTTCTTGACCATGTGATCATCTGGTTCTGGTTGTCAGCAGCCAAACTGGTTGATTCACTCTGAGAAGGTGCTATTAAAGAGACTGAGCTGAATACAGCACCTCAGACTGAAGAAGTCTTTTGGATGGAAGACAAAACGTTTCTACATTTTTTTGTTTTGCTTCGGTTTGTTTTTTGAATGTCCAGAGGACCAGATTTAACTTTTTTTAGATTTTTCTACCTGGATTATTGAGCATGCATCAGGATTTTTTAACCCTTGTTGTCCATCTATTTTACAAAATCCAAAAACCTGAACCTTGTCAGACACTGTTTTATTGTAGAGGAAATCTCTTTTTTTAAATGGACTGAGGCAAAGTGGAAAGCTGGCATGTGGTCAAATGAATCAAAATTTGAACTTCTGTTTAGATATTGCATATCCAAAGTCCTCCATACTGAAGAAGAGCAGGACTGTCCAGCCTGTTATCAGTGCAAACTTCCAAAGTTTGCCTCTCTGATGTTATGGGGGTGCATTGGTGCTTATGGCATTGTAGTTTAGACATCTGGAAAGGACTACCAATGGAACATAATGTAAAGTTTGTGTTACACATTGCTCTATGAAAAATGCTTTTTAAAGTCTGATTAGATTTTTGTACCCACCTCCACTGGCATACTCCATGATCAGGTAAAGGGTCTTGTCTGTCTCAATCACCTCAAACAGTTTCACTGCAAAACAAAACAGGATGGAAGAAAAAACAAAGAAGCGCAAATAATTCTGTCCATGTGTTTTATTACTAAGCAGTCATGATGTGTAGCAATCCAACGTCTACCTCACCTCTGCTGTGACCGTTAAACACAATGGATTTTGGTTTTGTTCACACAAACACCAGCAGAAAGCATCAAACATATCAGTGCACAAAAACATAATATGAGACAAATGTCTTACCTATGTTAGGGTGATTCAGGCCTTTCATTATTCGTACCTCACGAAAAAGCTGAAAAGGGGAAAAGAGAACTTGATTAAGCCTCTGAAGTTTCCCATGAGACAAACATGGACTCGTCCATCACCCCTGCTAACAACGTAGAGTGAAAGCCAAGCATGGTCGACTCATAAATATGGACTTTACTCTCATATTTAATGCTATAGATTTTACCAGATGTAGTTCACACCTTTGGGTAAAGACAGTCATGGAGCACTGGTTCTGAACTCGGGGGACAAAGTGAAAAACTTAAACTTGTAAATTTAGAGGTGGTCTCACACTCTATTTTCAGAAAGCTGAAAATTTATGGAGGTCAAAATAAAAAATAAAAAAAACCTTGAGAATTACATTAGCTTGGCTGTTTTTTCCCAGTTTTTTTTATTATTTTTATTATAGCCTTTCATGTATTGATCACTTGCACCATATGTATTTAAATGAGATGGAAATTAGATAAATGTCCTGATGTAAGCTCAATCTTCCAGGTAAATAAATCATTAAAAAGTTAGATCAGGTCATCTTATTCGTGGTTGAAACATTTTGTCTTTCTTCCAAAAGACTTCATCAGTCTGAGGAATGCCAAAAAGCTCACTTATATACTGTATACACACACACACACACACACACACA